TCTATTTTTAGTAACAGTTAAAGTAGGTCACCACTGAAAGCAGACATAAAAAAAATTAATTGTTATCATTTTACTGTATTCTACATTCAATTTCCTTTACATAGATACATAATAAGCCTGGGTATAGTACAAGACTTACTCACACCAGGGCAAAGATCTGAAGAGGTTGTGAATCGACACAATTTTCTCAAAAAGTGGCGAACCCGAGAGAGTTAAGCAAAAATGTTTTTAACAAAATAAAAACAACTTCAGATTAAAACATGGTGATATCACCCGCACGCATGATACACATATTTCTGATTAAATTTATTTTTTAATCAAAATCAAGCAGATTCTGCACAAGGGTGCCAAAACAAGTTCAACCAATAGGCTAGCTTACCACGTAAAAATGATTATTACCAAGTGCACAAAAAACTAATGAAAACCAAGACAATAAGTAGAAACAAAAGAATCACAACAATTTCCAACCTTTGGTTTTCTGTTCTCCTCTGCGCACTTCTTGATCACACCATGGACAACAGGGTTTACTGGTAGAGTGATTTCCGGGATATCAATATTCTGCTGCAGGTGCAGAAGCCCCATCTCCAGTTCAGCAATCTTTTTCTCCACAGTGGGTGCCATTTTGTCTCCATCCCTATTAGAAAGAACCAAAGGGAATCACCATACTAACATAATAAGAACATTACAATTTGTCGCTTTTAAGGACAAGCGGGCTAACCCAGTTTTCACGGGTTTCCAGAAATCTTGACCTACACCAAAAGTGGGCATTGCCCTACCTATAAGACAAATTTGGTGTCATTGGTATATATTTGTTTGGTTATAGAGAAAACTCTCCTTGTCTTTTAAAGAAACTGAAGAAGGGGCATAAACTTTACCTTCAATTTTCTCAAAACAACATTATTCAGGATAGCCCCCTTGTGCTTAAAAGCGCCCAATTATAACAGAAAAGAGATTTTATAAAAAGCATCTGATGACAGATATCACAAAGAAGGTCAAGTTTCACTTACACATTTCTACAATCTTCCAGTACCAAAAACACTTTGCCCATATCTTATAAAGATTGTCCAATACCATTTCAAAATTTTTTTCTACTTTTCATATAAAACACTCATTATTATCACTGCTTCCACTAAACAGTCTGGTTCCTGCATTAAGCTGACACCGTAGTCTTCTGTGGGCGCTGCAACCGCGGCTGCGGAAAAATGAATCAACCGCGCCGCGCTCGGCCGCGAAATTTTGCAGAATTTTCAAAAATTTTGCAGCATTATGATGCTTTCAGACATAGAATTGCAAGAAAAAAAATTATTAGCATTTACCCCTTGGCGGATGTCAACAGAGAGGTATAAACAAGGAATCAGGCTTTCTCTGATCACCTCTCTAGCCTCAACAGTACAAAGTCTGCTTCGACTATGAAGTCACACCGGAAATAGCAGTTCAGAAGAGAATGACAAACATATAAAAGAAGTAGAGGAAAAATGATGATAGTAAGGATGATAGACCTGCATGTGAGCCTCAACCAGATTGTCTGAAAATTTTGCGCAACCCCCCCCACTCCCCATATATGAGCTTTTGTGGGTGTCATAAGGAAGGACTTCCGAGTAACGAGCGACCATCCCAACAAACACAATAAAGAAGAGACCTAACCCTAACCCTAGGCCTACCCAAAAAAAGAACCTGCAACGGGCCTCATGTAAAAAGGCCAGCACAAGTCCAAAATGAAAAAATTTTTAAAATTTAAAAACCACACTCTAAAACAAATAAGGAGCACAATATGGCCTATATCGACATTGCTATAATAGGGTTTGATACAATAACACAACAGAATTGGAATGAATCCTCCATATAGATATAGTGATCTAAATAAATCTAGATCTAGATCTAGATCTAGAATCTAGATCTTGTAGAACATGTGAATAGGAATAGGCCTTGAACTAGAAATCCGCATCCGATTCCGAACAGAAGGACTCAGCTAAGTCTAGATTCTAAATAAATAAATAATAATTCACGCACCTGATGAAACATTAATATTACCGACATTAATATTACAGCACAACCTATGATAGGGTTTGACACAATAGAATTGGAATATGAATCCTCCATTGAGGTCTATAATGATCTAGATCTATATAAATCTAAATCTAGATTCTATTAGAACAAGTGAGTCGGACTTGAATGAATCCACACGATCTGAACAATTGAATTAGTCAACAAACGAAAGTCAAAATGGCCGCTCGAGCACGCAACTGAAAGTAGATAATTTAGGTCGTCGTCCTTTTTCATATTCTCATTTCTACTCAGGTTCCGACAATTATGTCGGAAACGCCGGCGTCGGCAGTCGGCACGAAAACGAAAGTGCCGACAAAGCCGACGGGAGAATTAGGGGGCGCTGGCAGTCGGCCAGGCCTCGCACTACGCACATTGACTGACACAGGTGGGCCTAGCGATAGCATCGGCCGGCTAGCGGGTCAGGTCGCGATTGTCGGATTTCAGACAATTGTCCGCAAACATGCAGGTCTAGGATGAGGAAAGAAAAAGCAGCAGTTCGCCCTATTCCTTATGTTATTCCCGCACAATGTGAGCATAACATTGATAAATCAGCCCCTATTCTACTGTGCATAAGAAAAAAATGTTAATTTCCCCCTTTCGTAATGGCCTCTTGTAGCGACTATTGTATAGGGGTACAGGCGAGACGAGATTTGTCTTTCAGCAAAAATGGATACATTTTTTAAAGGAAAGAATGCGTTGAAAACAAATGCCGCTAAACGTCAGCTTCAGTTAACCAAAAGCACACATGTGTTTGGCGGAAAATTGTTCTGTTAGCATGTATGTAATGTGGTACTTGACCACACCCGTAAATCAATGGTTGATGGGAACTTCTGTGTTTATGCCATCTTCACCCGCAGCGTTTCCTTCTAGGGTGTTTCTAATTCTAATTGCGAGCTCTACCTCTGACTTTATTTAGAATGATGGGACCGTTGTTGTTGCTTGGTTGTGGTAGGGGTTGTCTTTTATCTTCAAATAATTCTCCTACATATTCTACCCACCTCCCTCGGGCTTAGAATTTTTTCTGAAACGTTACATAATTGTCTTTTTTGTCTTCAACGCCTCATGACAATCAATGACATAGATCTAACTCAAACTGCCAGCTCACCTGATTTTGAAATTACCGGTATAGTGTCTCATTTCTTTAGGTCACACTTTTGCTAGTATTTTATGTTATGGGCTTGTTTCTAAACAATAATACAGATTGTATGCTGTTCATTGCTGGGTTTTTAAATTTCATTCACTGTGTCTGTAGTGCTACTTCTCAGCTTATGATTAATTGGTACTTAATTGGTACTTAAATATATATGTTTAAAGCAGTATGGAAAAAGAAGTTTAGACATGGTCGCAATCCTTTCAGAATTTTTGCAGAATTTGGTCATTTTGGGGGTAAATTCTGCGCAGAATTTTGAAATTTTCCATGCAGAAAACTACGATGTCAGATTAAGAAAATTTTTAAAAGCCAGTAAAAACTGATGTTCCCCTAGCATGTCTTCCGTATATTCTCTTCAAAAGCAAAAAACAACAAACTTCAAAAAAGTTTGGAGCACAATACTGATTTCACGCACCTCTCAGCCTTTCCTGTTTCTTTGATGTAGGACTTGAAGTAGGGAGCCACAGCATTGCTGATGTACGCATGCAGTGTTTCGTATGGTGACCCCTCGCTAAAGTTCATGATTCTCAGCTGGGATGCCAAACCTTTATCCCCATCCAGTTGTGGTCCACGTTTGATGAAGACAACACTGGGAAAGATAACAGAACCAAATTGATCCAGCATGAAATCTCACTATCCTGTCCATAACTCAAATTATAAAATTAGACAAATTATTATAGGTGTCAGAATCAAATTCATGCTGCAATGACTCACCCCGGGTTTCCTGTTTTCTCTATAATTTTATCTTGTCAGTATGTTAGTGCTTTAACACTTATAAATGGCAGCTCCACTGTATGCTTCTCAGGAGGTTGTGAACGTTTGAGAATGCTACGGTCTGTTGGGGTAATAGTATAGATTGTAAAGGGCAAAGACCCTGCTGTTGAGCAAGAATTTGCGCTATACAAATGCTATTTATTATTATATAATCTTTATGGAGGCCACAGGAACCAATTTTATAGAAAGGGTTCCCTTTCAAACACTTGATCCATCACTTGTGCCTTAGCAATTTGAACCACAAGCTACTTTTCGTCAAATAAAATACTAACTAAGAGCGGTTTCCGACATGTTTTGAATTTCTGCCTGGAAGTCCAAGCAGACTCACTTCTCAAACTTACAATCGCTAAGGTAGCAAAAATTCAATCCTCAAATCCAAGCAAACTTCTGTGCCACACACAAGTGAAAGGTTTCACAAGAGAAAAATTAAATGGACCAAGAAATGACTATTTGATATAAAAAAATTATTACCTATATTCAAAATTCTAAAATCCAAAAATATCAACACACCTATCGCTTTATGCTTCGGAATTATAACCATTGTTTTAATGCTGTAAATTGTAATTGGTCATGACTGTACTGTAGATTACTCTGCAAAGATACCACCAATCCCCAAGCATAACTGATATTACAACTACGTAATGTTATCCGTTATAATTCACTGAAAAAAATACCTAAATCTAACTGACTTTACGACATATTTTAAATCATGATATAAATACCTGGCCATTTTAGAGCTTCCAAAATGAACATCTGTGGAGATGGTGTACGGGATGTTCTGGCCATCGCCTTCCCCTTCAGCTGTTTCTTCAGATTCCTCTGAAAAGATTATGACATAAAAAGTAGTTAATATATATATGTGAGTGTATGTGTCTCTCTTCATTTTTCAAATGTCCATGCTAAACAGTCACTCTCTCTTTAAACTAACATGAAATCCCTTTTATAAAATCAAATCGTTGGTTAATTTGGAAAAAAGGTCAGAACCCATTTTAGACTATTTTTCTGCCCTCTTTTAAAGTTTTTTAGTGTGCTGAGAACAATTTTGGCACTAAAAATTGTCGCAAACCATTGTTTTTGTAAAGACCTCCCTTTTTTAGCAACTTTTTGGGGTGCGCATGCGCAGTATTATTGGGGAAGGAAAATGAAAACAATCAGCTTGCATTACATCACTACACAAATAGTGCAGTTTTAAAAACCTTAAAAGTTAACCCTGTAAACGCACAGGCCCTAGAATGTAAGTTGTAAGGGGGATGAGCATAGATGCTGACCTTTTTTATTGGAAAATTTCAGTATTCCTTGGAAATCACGTAGTAAATTGCGGGTCAAAGTTATAAATAGTGACCAATGACCTTGCAAGTTTTCTTGACCTCGTTTCTTGGCCAAGATATCGATCAATAATGAGACGCAATAATAGCGACTACACGCTAGGCCTATGTGTTATAAATCACTTGTTCCGCTGTGCTAATGTACTAATTGCTGAGTTCATCACGTTTTGCCCTTTGTTTGTATTTATTTGATCGCTTTTCATTTATGAATTGCTCATTCTGTCAGCTTTAAGAAAAGATATATGGTTTTATATCATGCCATTAATCATCTGTTGAGCCATAAATGGTCATTTTTCAGTAGCAGGTATACATCTCTGAGATTCTCAGCTGCCTGCCAAACCCCCACGTTTACAACCGATCGGCGGTGGCGGCGGAGCATTTTTTTGGGTGGGTTACTTTCGATGAAACGCTGAGCGCTTCTGGGGTTAATATCTCAAAAACCATACATTTGCAAAAGTTTTAATAACAAGTTAGAATCTACACTTCCTAAATCAGGAGGCAAAAATATATAAACATGGCCCGATGATTTTGTAGTTTCGTTCGTTTGAGTCCAAAGCTGAACGCCAGAGACCCTAAATTGCCAGGTAATCGTGGAGGAGTGAACTAAGCGTGAAACTAGAAGGAAACTATGACTAAAGCCAGAAAATCAAAATTCAGGCAAAGAATGGCACTTTTTCGGCAGTTCCCACCCCCCAATTATTATTCGCCAGTTTGGGCCCCAAGAGTAAAGAATAGGGGGGTTTCAGGGGGGGCAAGGCTAATAAAAATATGGAGGGGGGG